TCAGCTGTCAAAGAAGAAAAATCACTTGGTATGATGATAATGATGCCTGGTAACTCTACTGCCATAAATTCCATTTGGTCCTGCCTTGGGCCAAGGAGACAGACTAGGTGAGCTTTTAGGACTTCTTCTAGCACCAAGGCTCTTCATTTACTGCTATGTTACTAGGCATGGTTATGAATGGCTAGTGTGTCACTGAGCATGCAAAGAATTTTATTTTCAGTCTGCCATTTCTATCTATCTCAAGGGTTCCAGCTATAATTATGTCACCATTTTTTCCCTTACTATAAACTTGGTGTAAACACCAGCCCTTTCTTAAATTGACTTTGTTTGACTTAAAATTTTCTGAGAAATGATTTCACATAATTGCAAAATTTGAAATGACTAGGGACGTAAAGAGAGTCTATGGGGAGGCCATCAGATTTAACGAGAGGCCTGAGTAAGATCATATTTAATAAAGAAGTAGACAGAATTTTATTTTAATATATACAGGAACAAATAAAAGCTGCTAAGGTGTGTTGAGCTAAAGTTATAATTTGCTAGAGTTCATAAATAACCACTGTGTTCATCACATAGTAGCTATACACAAACACACTGTTTGAAAGAGTATGAAAAAACCATCATCTTTTAATCTAATTTGTCCTGTAGATTTATTTCAAAGCCTGGTAAGTTATTTTTTTCATAGATAGTTAAGAAGTAAATTATTAGCACAAACTCCTAACTAATGGGTTTCAAATATGTGCTTGGAACATAGTGAGGCTCAATAAATATTTAATGATTGTATTAAAGAAATAATGTTGTTTTACTGTACTGTGCTGATAGAAAAAGAGGGTCTGATGGGACCCAATTATAATGTATAGAATTTTCTGTCTTGCAACTTGTCTTTAAATGTTAATTAACATGAATACTTGTGAGTTAACTGATCAAGTTTGAATTATACTATACAATGTTAAGTAGGGCTAAACATTTCCAGCAACTATTTATTTTAGCTGCTAACGTGCCAAGTTACTGCAATAAACAGTAGTGAGAAGACTAGAGCCAAATAAGGCCAGAAATCTCCAAGCTATTGTTTTGATGGGATTTATCCTATCACACTACTCTGAGAGAGTATTTATTTGTTGGCCATCAGGGAGGGCAGGCCTAAGGTTTTTAAACTTATAATATAGATGTTCAAAAACAATAACTATAATTGTGACAATTTTTTTACATTAAGACCTTGTTCTGGTGCTTTCATAACAGATGAATGTACGAAGGGATGGAAAAAGATATTTCATGACAATGGAATTTAATTGGAAGTCAGAGAAAGAAACTTTTGGAGATTTTTCTGCAAAAAAATTATTAAAAGCCTCCTAGGTTTCAAGCATTCTCTCTGCTTTAAGATAGACCCATTCTCCCTTCCCTCAAAAAGGGGACAGAGAACTGAGCCTCAGCCTCTGCATAAACCTGAGTTTTGGTCTGTATTGAACCATATCACCACCCACATGGTATTCAATAGTTAAATGGACAGAAGGTCAATATAGGCTAGTCATGCTGAAGAAGGCAGTCTCTCTGAGAATGTGGTGCAGAAAGCTAAGTGACTTTACATTACTCATTTGGATTAATAATACTTGGACCCCAAATTCAATTTTTTTGAATAACGTGTTTTAAAAAGTGCACAATTTGGAGACTAACTGGGATTTGGGCAGTAAGTTTTACACAGCCTGATATTGATCAGTTTCCAAAGAGATGGGTTACCTAGGCCTTGAGGAATTCCTTTCTATTTGCTAATACATGTACTCATCTAAAAGGTTTAAGGGATTGGCAAGGAGTCTTGACCTTAAAAAGTCAGAAATGTATGATTTACAGGTGTAGATGCAATTTAACCAAGTACGACTTTAACAACATCTGGGGACTGGTATGTGCGGTAAAGCCATTGCTTATCAGAAATACTAACATTATCATTTTATATACAAAAGAGTGGAATAGCCTCTTGATCATGTAAAATGCTATTGACTTCCAACTGGTATACATGTCCCTGTTGAAAGGAATGTAATTTATTCCAATATCTGTTTCTTGAGACTGGCCAGTCATATTGGGGAAATAAAGTAACTTAGTTGACTCTTTAGAGATCACTTTATGATAAAATTTAGTTTAAAAAATAATTTAATTATTTAATAGGTCTAGTCTCTTCATTCCTATATTCTCTTGATGATCTAACCTATACATTACTGCTAGATTAATTTTTCAAACAGAACTCTAATTATTCTACTCCAAATTTTTTCATATCTCTCCATTACCTGCCAAAACAAGTACAGATTACAGCCTGGCATTCAAGGATTTCCACAAAAATAGCCCCAATCTATCTTTCCCAATTTATTTCCTAGTACTGCTCCTACATATATAGCCACAAGCTCAGTTCTCTGGCAGACCCAAATTCTTACGCAACAGTGGATTAGTACTGGTTGCTGCCCCGAAGGCACTGATTGGAGGAGCAGAAGAAAATAGCCAGTTCCCCACTCTAGCACCAACAGAGAGGTTGGGAAGTGAACACTGCTCTAGCATCTTTCTGAAACACAGATTTGATCTGTCATGCTCTTCCTTAAAACCATAATAGTGAACTTGTTGTAAATCTAGGATCCATGGGCCAGGATGTGGCTAGAGTTTAAGGGTTCCATGCACTTGGGTTGTGAAATAAAATTGCATTTGTATTTTCAATAATCTCTAGCTGAAATTTGGCATTTTCTTCAATAAATGTGGACAGTAATTCATAGTATTAGCAGTCCCTATGTATTTTTTTTTTTTTTTAGCTGAGCCATCCTGCTACCTGTTGGCAGCTCAGCGGCAACTCAGCTCGGGCTGGGCATCAAACCGCTGTTGCTCAGAGCTCGCACTTGCGCGAGCTCTTAACCAACTGAGCCACTCGGCCGGCCCTATGTATTTTGACCCCAATAGAAATAGGATATTTTCACATCATATTCAAGTTGTTACAGGTATCTCAAAATAGAATACTATTTTGAAATTACACAATTAGACCTGCTGTCAGATGTTATTTAATGCATAAAGAAGCATATCCATTTATATAACTACATCATGTAGTTGTTCTAATATTTTTAAAACTTGAAATAAAATTGATTTCATTTGTTTTTATGTATTTTATGCATTTAAAAACATTCTGACACCTGAAATTAATAATAAATAAATAAATAAATAAATAAATAAAAACATTCTGAGACAGGGCCCACAGGCCAGGTGGCCAAAGAGGTCCCTGGTGCACAGGAGGTTATTTTATTTTTACCTTTGTTATTTATACCTATCAATTGCTTATAGTATATAATCTAAATGTTCTAGCATGGAATTCAAGCCTCCTCAATCTGTTCACACCCATTTTATCATCTTTATCTCTGTCCCACCCCTACTTTCCATACTATGCTCTAGTTATACCAGACAACAGTGACTCCCTCTTATCTGGAGGCAGAGAGACAGGTTTTTGGATTAACCCTAGTTAATAGACAGTAGCCCTGCACTAGCTTGGGCTTGGCTTTACAGCCCTTCTCTGTTAGCCACAGTGAGCCCTTCTTCTTTTAAAGGTTTGTTTTTCCTAATACTATGAGATCCTAATAGGGCTGTATCTTAAATATCTTTATATCTTATTCCTAATTCAAATGCATGATGAAATGAATAACAAAAGACAGGTTCTTAAACTGGCAAGGCACTGTGTGTAGGAATCTCTAGAGGAGTGAAGTTAGTCTCTGAATTTCAAAAATTGACTTAGCTCTGATCTTTTTGGGAACAGAAATGAAGGTATCCTTGGGCTCTAAGGCTGGATCCTCAGCGGATAAATCTTGGATGGAAGGGAAAGGGAGAGGAAGAGAGACATAAGTGAGGTGGACCTGATTAGGATTGAGGGATAGAAATGTGCTGAAGGTAAAGGCAGGAATGGCCTCTCCCATTTCCCAGAGCAGTTATTCAAAATTTTCATCACTCTGCTCAAGCTACTTATTCCACCCCAACTCTCTCTCATCAAATGACTCCCATCTTAATGTTGCAGAGCCAACACCATCACTTTCCTGTCCTTCCCTACTTCCTATCCTTTCCTTTTCCATAGTTTAGTGGTTCTCGACCCTCAGGATTAGTCACTTTAGGAGAAAATACGAATGCCTTGGCCCTAATCCTAGTTTAATTGGTTTTGGATGGAGCAACAACAGTGGTTTTACTTTGAAAAAAGTTTCCCTGATGATTCTAATGTGCATACAAAGTTGAGTTCCATTAGTGCTCTTGATCCTATAAATTAGACGCCTCACCCATGAACTGGTCCACTTCTGAGTTTCATGGTGCACTTTTATGTTTACGAGTCTCCCATCTTTAAAGAAAACATTCCTGCAGTATACATTCTCGCTCATCTCTCTCACCCTTTACAATGATGCTTCCTTAAAGTGTAGGTTACACCAGTATGGTTTCCACCAGCTATAGTGTATTCCTCTAATTTTTTACTCTTCCAGATCAATACTGTCATATGCTTTTGTATCTGTCACTAGCTCTGTTTCTCTCTCCTATTTCTTTGACTAGCTACTGCTCACTAGCCTTTTACCACAAGTTATGAAAGGGTTTCTTCACGACCTTTATACAATCAGAAGACCTTTTATATGCTCAGAAGAGTAACCTGTGCTTTTTTTCTATTATAATTTTACTTTACTAAACTGCGGATTCTCTCATCGTCTCCCACATAACACAGCACTTCTTAAAGCTGAGACCATTTTATTCGCTCCTGACTTTCTGGAGTCCAACGCATGGAAACCACTCAGTGAAAAGTCTGAGGAATGAATGGAAAGGAGGGCTAAGAATAGAAGGTCGGGGGCGGGGAAAGGCGGGGGGNAAAGGGGCGGGGGCTAAGAGGGGCGGCGCCGAGAACCCTGCGCCAGAATTAGGAAGGCGGCACGGTTACGCTAGATCTGCGTGGGCAGTAAAACAGTCCCTTCCCAGGACACACTGACAGACAAAACCGAAGTGGGGAGGCGACTTCTTACCTGCCTCGGGCCTCACCGCCCCAACCAGCCTTCAGGCACCTCTGTATTGGTCGGAAAGCGAGAGCAACGGTCGCAAACCTACAGTTTTCTACCCTAACCTTGCGACATTACTCTCTAGTAGAGGCAGAATCTAAGGCAGAATTCCCAGCTCTGCCGTAAGGTGAGGAAGAAAAGTTTGGGCGGGGCCGCCTGGGGCGGGCGAAATGGGGCGTGCCCGCGCAGGCGCGTACAGTATTCTCTGGAGGCGTCACGTGCGGGGGCGGGGCCGGCCGGGCGGGCAGACTCCGGCTGGCTGTAGGGGGCGTGGGAGGTAAGTGCGCGCGCGCCTGCTCGTCTGCAGCCGAGGAGTCGCGCGGGGCGGGGCCGCGTGCGCGGGGTCTGGGGCGCGCGGGCCGGAGCAGACCAGTGACCCGGCGGCGGTTGGTGGTGGCTGCTGAGAGTCTAGCCAGGACCTTGAGAAGCGGCGGCGGAGGCATCCGCGGCGTCCACAGAGGCAGCGACAGCGGTCGAGGCGGCGGTCCAACGCGTGCTCTCTGGGCGGGGTGCAGCGGGGGATGTGCCTGCCCAGGCCGGGCGGAGTCTTTCTGACAGGGCGGGGGATGTGCGGCGGCCGCTTGCCCGGACCCTGAGGCAGCTGGGCCCACCCTCCCGGAACCGTCCGACCCTCGCTCGCCTCGGCCTCTGCTGACTCCTCCGGCCTGACCCTGGGGCCGAGGGTGGGAGGCAGCTTCCGCCTTAGAGGAGGGGGCTGTGGTGGCCACCGCGGCGGAGCCCGAGGTAAGACCCGCCCTAGCCGCCCAGCGGCCCTGCAGCCCGGCCCGGCCCGGCCCACGTCTCAGTGTAGCTCTTGGGCTCCTGCCGGGCCCCCTGGCCCCGCCCCAGCGAAGACGCCCCGCGAGCGGGTCTGCCCTGGAGCCTCCCAGACGCCCGATCACCGCCCGGGGTCTCCAGTAGACCCCACCCATCGTATCTCCATTGGCCAGATATCATTCCGGCCCTCCAGCTGCCCCGGCGGTTCTGTCACGGCCCCTCACCCCCAACCCCCAGCACACCCCATTAGAACCTCCTTCGGACTCTTAGGACTCGTAATGGAACCTCCAGACTCCGTTACATCCCGTGAGCTGACCCGATCACAGTTCCTCTGAGACCCGGTCACCGCTGCCCCCTAACCCATTGCGACCCCAGCTCCAGGGCAGGTCCCTCGCTGCCCACCCACCTTCCCAGCGGACCTCCCAGCCGACTATCTCTTTCTGCATCTAACTGGCGTTTCAGGTAGTCTATTTCGTGATGCCCTGACCTCCCAGTCGATCTGATGTCAGCCCCTCTTTAGACACTATCAGACAGCGGCCTCTCTCCCCACCCCTCTCCCACAGACCTTTTCTACTCGTGCAGACCGTGTTATCTTCCTGGTCGTGATCCTTTCTTTGGTTGAAAGGGCTTTGCCATGAAATCTTGAAGGGATGTTTGCTTAGCCTAGTGTATTCCCCCCAGTGGGGCTTAAAAGGACCAACTGACGACATCCATGTTTGGAGGGTTTAGTCTGGTGGCGAAAGAATGGAGGGAGAGGGAAGAGTTTGGAAGCCCAGGGCAGGGGGTGTGTGTGCTGTTAAAAGGTCATACAGCCTACTTTTCATCTCTTCTGTTGAACGTGTGAGGTAGCTCAGATCTGACATTTTAGGAACCTATATAAGGATTAAATCACATTCCACTAATGGATATAACTGTGTCTCCATGTAGTACCATTTGCTTCACATTTTTGCAGATTTTTACAAATCTTTCACATTGTTTTTGGAGGATACTGGACACTTTTATATTGATCTGCTCTTTTTGAATGTCCTGGGAAAGTAAGATTTGGTGCTGCTGTCTTGCTTTTCCAAGGAGCAATTACGGTTATCATTCAATGGTCCCTGGTGTCATTACCAAAAGCCTTCTCAGCAGGAGTAAAATATTGAATAAAATGTTGTTTGTTGAAGTTGAACTCATGAGCTGTCAAGAAGGACATGTAATGTTACACCAAATGATCAGTGCGTAATTTTGACATCACTATAGGAATGAAGTACAGAGAGGTTTTTGTAGTTAGTACATATGAAATTTTTATTTTGTGTGTGTGGAACTGAGGAGGGGGACATCATATTAAAATTATAGGTAATAATGAGACATACTATAAAAGTCAAAAGGTTCAAAAGAATATGCAGTAAAAGGTTTTTGTTTATCTTCCACCCATTTTCCCTCTTTAGAGGCAACCACTATTTCTTTCCATCACTGTGTCCTTCCTGTGATATTTCTAGCACCTATAAGCCTATACATTTGTATTCTTAAAACACACTACAGGGAAATGCTTGCACACTGTACACTTTTCATATGGCCCCCCCCCCCCCCCACTTAATAATAGATCCTAGAGATCATGCAGCAACAGTACATATGGTAGTGCCTCATTTACTGGCTGGATAGTGTTCTATTTTGGTGGTATTCAGGTATTTTCAGTCTTTGGTTTTACAAACCGTGCTCCATGCTTTTCTTTTAAATGTGTCAGCTGTTATATGTATGTTTTAAGTAGTTTTCAGGATTTGAAAAAATTTTCTGGTGATTCTTTTGTGTTGAACCTACAAAAAAGATATAACTAAAGTAAATTTCATTGAACTGCTGAGCCTCCATGGAGTAGCTAGCATTGATGGTGATTATAATATTTATCAAATAAATTATTGAAGGATTAAAGTAGGGGACTGAAATGATCAGATTTGCATTTTTGTAAGGTCACTCTGGCTGCAGCGAGGAGGGTGGATTGAAAGGCAGACTAAGGCTACAGGTAAGAATATCAAGAGGGCAATCCAGGCAAACGATGATAGTGGGTTTGGATTTGGGTATTGGAAGTAGACAGGACTTGGTGATTTCAGTGGATTTGGGATTAGGGAGATGGTTCATAGAGGATAAGATCTAGCTTCTAGCTTGTGCCTTTCACTGAGGTGGGATCCATATGAGGGAAGAATAGGATTTTTATTTTTGTCAAGAAAGAGGAATTCAATTTGTGACAAGTTCAGTTTGGCTGTTTATACTTCTGTCAGATATAGATGGCCAGAAGGCAGCTGGATTTGTGACTTAAGCTCATTATCAAGTTCTGGGTTTGTAGTAATAGATTTTTGGGGCAAAGGGTAGATGAGAGGAGAAAAGATTGTAGAACAGAAACCCAACATTTGCAGTATCGGTGCAGTTGAATGTCTAAGCTAGGAAATTATGTGATTCAGCCTTTAAGAAATGTTGTTATAGTTTAAATATCAATAGTGAGGTTCACTGTCCATCTGTGACTTTTTATTTTTAAAAATTTTTTTTAAAGATTTTATTGAGGAATTGGGAAGGGAACAGTGTTGGGGAATTGGGGAAGGGGAACATTGTATTTTTCCAGGACTCGTCAGCTCCAAATCAAGTTATTGTCCTTCAGTCTTACTTGTGGAGGGCGCAGCTCAGCTCCAAGTCCAGTCGCGTTTTCAATCTAGTTGCGGGTGGGGGTGGAGGGTGAGAGGGTAGCCCACCATCCCATGCGGGAGTTGAACCGGCAGCCTTGTTGTTAAGAGCATGTGCTCTCACCAGCTGAGCCACCCGGCCGCCCGTTGGCAGCTCAGCCCAGGCGCAGCTCACTGGCACATGTGGGAATCGAACCAGCAACGCTGTTGCTCAGAGCTCGTGCTCTAAACAACTGTGCCACCCGGCCGGCCCCAGCCTGTGACTTTTTAAACATTTTTCCCCCTTAGTTAACATTAGTGGTGTACAGTTCCTGAGGGAAATGGAGCAAACTTAGATTTTTTGAAAAAACTAAAATAAAACCTCAGAAGAAATTAGTGATAGAAATTCCATTTTTCCTAACCATTTGGATTGTACTATTGTAGAAGTTTGTTTAATTTCCAGTGCTTGCAGAGAAGTGCAGGAGGTTTGAAATGTGGTTTGTCAAGAATACTAAGTTTTTAGTTTGCATGATTTTTAGTTATATTAATTTATAATAAATATTAGTCAAATAATTTTTGGTCATGTTTTAAAACCATAGTATCTACTTAATGTATTTATTCCTAAGTCTAGAGCTGCTGTATAGAGAGCTCTTGCCTTTACCCCTGTAAATCACTGCTAATGGACATCTCCACTTGAATTCACATTTCACAAGTACTTCAAACATGTACAAAATAAAACTCTTCTCTGCTTTTCCCTCACTTAAGGATCGGGTAGAATGAGACAAACTGCAACAAGATTTTTTCTTTTGATTTCCTACCTTGGCAAATGAAGCCCTCAGGAACCTGGGAATCACGGTCCACTCCGCTCTGTACCTTACTACCAACATCACTGAGTTCTGCACATTCTCCCTCAGGATACTTCATATCGTTCCTTATTGCTATTTTGTTGTCTCTACTTCCTTTAACCCAGAATATCCATTGGGCTTCTGTCATGCTTTCTAAGTGGTTGTCTTGCCTTGTCTCTTCTGCCTCTTGTTATGCCATACCGTCCAGTTCATTTTCTGCATTGCTGCCAGATTAAGTGTTCTAAAGTGCTCTTTTGGGCTCTTTCATTTGCAAGGGAGAGACTCAGGTTACCTTAAGTAGTGGAGTGCTTATTGAAAGGAAACCCAGGAAACAAGGGAACCCAGGAAAAGTTAAACAACTTGGTCTCAAGAAGAACAGGAGCATAATAAATAAAACTAGAGGCAGGAAAAGACAGATTTCACTTTAGTGCTCTAATGTTAAGTTGTCTCAGCTACTCTTCCTATTTCTTTTTGGCTTATTTTTTTCTCTCTACTCCAATCTCCTCCCTCCTTGTCCCCCTCATCGCATAGCTTTTATTTTTTTCTAATTTTTGCCTCCTTATAATTACTGTGTTATTCCCATGCTAGCATCTTGCCTCCTGACTGCTTTTTTTTTTAAGATTTTATTGGGGAATTGGGGGCGGGAACAGTGTTGGGAAATCAGGGAAAGGGAACAGACAAGTTGCTGTCCTTTTTTGTTCTTCAATCTAGTTATGGAGGATGTCGCTTCACTGGCCCATGTTGGTATTATCATTGTACTCTTCCCAGGTGAGGCAGATTGGTTGCCGGCCTCTAGATGGCCGCTCACAGCAGCTCTTGGCAGCTCACATCGGCTGCCGGCCGCTCACGCTGGCTGCCGGCCACTCACGGTAGCTTATGGCAGCCCACTGAAGCCCCGCTGCAGCCAACCCCGTTGACTCACGGCAGCCCAGCTCCAGGTCGAGCTGTTGTTCACCATCTTAGTTGTAGAGGGTGCAGCGTCACTGGCCCTAATGTGGGCTCCGAACCGGGGTCCTGCTGCTCAGAGCTGGCGTTCCAAGCCAACTCTTAAGCAACGTGCCACTCAGCCAGTCCCTGACTGCTGTCTTTTTGACTTTAGCTCCTGTTGCAAACTTCTTTCTTCTCCCTAGGATCTTCTGGTTGGAATACCCAAGAAACAATCTCTTTGGCTCAGCCTTTTTTCTCATGGACTGCTAGCCAGCCTGTGTGCTTTGGTCGTGTGACCATTCTTGGCCATTTAGTATTGGCTGTGGGTTTATTTGCGCTTGTGGGTGTGGAGCAGGATCATAATGGTGAAAAGCATGGGCAGTGTATAGGCTAATTTCTCACAAAATGGGTTGCAAACATGGCAGACACCATAATTGACATTTATGGTACAAATGCAAATCTAATCATGTCCTTTCCTGTTTAAAGATCTTCAGTGCTTTCTCATTGCTTTTAGGGTAAAGCTGAAACTGTAGCATGGCATGTATATGAGATCCTTCATGATATGACT